AACAACAATAGTGAAAGAATTGCTCAGCACACCTAAAAAAGACATAGATAAAAAATAGAGGAGCATAGAAAAATGATGGAAACCTTGAATGAACAAGATAAGAAAGAATTAGAATGCATGAAACAGATTCAAAAATTCTTTTGTTGGAATAGAAACACTAAACAATCTATCAAGCTCTCTAGCTTCAGAATGACAGGATGATCTTGTATGTATCTTTTACTCAATCAGAAATTCCTATTTTCTGAAGATAGATGAGGATTTCTTAAACTGGCTACAGAAAACACCCACCACAAAAACAAGACTGGTAATTGAATTAAAAATGAAGGCTTGTTCATCAAAACAGAATGAGAAGACAAGCCACAGCTTGAGAGAAAATATTTGTAGAGCTTATGTTCAACAAGCTCTCTATAAAATACAGATATATAAAATAAATAAAGGAAATCTACAAATCCTTAGATCTGAATAAATACTTCCTGAGAGAAGATGCTCAACTGGTTGTAGTGGTACAGGTGTATGAAAAAGTGTTCAAATCCTTTTAGTTACGAGGGAAGTGCATACTGAGGTGCTAGTATACACTTATCAAAACAACTAATTAAGAACAAAATACAAAACCTCACAATACCAGCTGTTGGTGACGTTGGGGAGCCTCTAGAATTTTCATGTGTTGCTAATTGGGGGTACAAGTTGGAACAATTACTTTGAAAACCTGTTTGGCAAGATTTTCTAGAGCTACCCATGGCCTACCCGGTGTCATAGGGACATACGCAAGAAAAAAATCAAAGTTTTTGCCCATGAAAGGCACACATAAGAATGTTCCAAGAATCTTCACAGTGCTATATTCATGATAAAGCAAAACGAAGAAAAACAAAACAAAACAAAACCCCAAAACTTCAAATACTCGGCAAAAGTGAAATAGACAATAGCTAGGCATCGTGATGCAAGCCTATAATCTCAGCACTAGGGAGGCTGAGGCAGGAGGATCACTTCAAGTTCAAGGCCAGCCTGGGTTATATAGTGAGTTCAAGGCAAGACTCAACAAAATAGCAACCCTCCTCAAAAAAAAAAAACGAATAGATGAATAAGTTAAAGTCTATTCATAAAAGGGAATATACTATAAGTAATAGAAAGGAATGAACATACATATTGTTGCATACAATAAAATGGATGAATACACTAACAAAATGTTTAGCAAAAGAAGCCAAGCACAGAATTCTTATCCTATTGTTGTGTTTGTGTGTCTATATACACACATATAGATGTCTATATATTTGTTTCTTGGTATCCACAAGAAATTGATTCCAAGGCCTCCAAGGGTACCTAAATCCACAGATGATAAGGTCTCTTCTGTAAAATGGTATAGTAGTTGTATGTAACCTGCGAATATTCTCTTGTGTACAATAAATAATCCCTCAATTATTCATATAAATACCTAATGCAATGTAAACACTATGTAAATAGTTGGTATACTATATCATTTAGGAAATAATGATAAGAAAAAAGCCTGTACATGTTTGGCACAGACACGATATTTAAAAATTACTTTCGCTCCTTGGCCAATCGGCACATGTCTGGTATACACAGTTGGACAGAGGGCTGGAGAGCCAGCTGAAACCAGGCAAAACCATGGTCAGCAGTAGAAGAGTAATTGTCTCAGTGTGGAGGGTGGGCAGCAGTAACTGACAGGGAAGAAGTGTGACAGTCTTTGGGGTGCTGGACTGTCCTATATTTTATTTTATGTAATTACACACTTAAAAATTCATTAAGTTATATACTTAAAATATATGTACTTCATTGTAGATACATTATACCTCATTAAAAAAGAAAACAAAGCCAGTATTTTGATTAATATTATGAGATATATATTTCCATGCTAAATAAGTCCCAGCTCTGGTAGATTAAAAGACTGAAAAAGTATTATTAGTCTAGTCAAAAGGATCCAGCTGCCTGTTAAGTATGAAACTAACATGGTAAAATTATATTTGACTCCTGGCATTCTCTGCAGTGCATTCCTCAGTGCAACATCTGGGAGACAAGACTGAATAACTTTCATTCAGTGAACATGGTGTGTGCAGAAATGCTCCGCTCTGATTGCTTTAAATTTGTGAGTCAGAGCCTGGAGGGAGATTGAAACCACCCCCGCTCGGGGCCCCTACTGACCACACACCCTCGGCTCTGATTCTTATTAAGGGTGACTGTCAGATTTTAGAGTTTTCCACATTCTAAAATACAAGTTGTATAAATAAACAACACATGCTTAAGGTTCATAGATGCCTTTAGATATTTCTCAGACTTTCCTGCAGACCGTTTCTCCACTTTTCTTGTTGTTTGGCTTCCCCATTCATAATATAACACAGATTGAACATAGGGACTTAAATTAGCAAGCAAAGGGTTGGAATTTTTACTTTCAACTTTCATTTGCATATTGTTTCCGTGGCTCTAGGTGGGGTTTGATTAGTGTACTATCTACAGTATTGCAACTAACAAATACAGAGAAACTGTTTGAGAGTTCACATCTACGCAGTTAAAAATGTTCCTATGAATGTTAACAATATGTTGTCATGCCATGTGCTACTCTGTTAATAACCCTTAGTTATTGCCGACTGATCAGGACCACAATCTCCCAAATGAGTGGCCAGAGAAGGCTTAAATAAATGAGACAATTGAAGTGATTTCAGGGCTCCAGGAGGCTCCAACTCTTACTAAATTCAAGATTCTCCAAGTTAAGACTCTGAGCTAAGACTCAACATCTCTGGGCAGCCTGTATTTATTAGGTTTTCAAACAAAAGAGGCCAATACTGAAGAAAATGCAGGAATCTGGGCAGGACTTGGCAAGCCCCTTCTGGACTTCTCCAGGTAATACATTATGTTAATTTAGGAGAACTATGTTATCTCCAGGAAGACCTTCACTGCAGGAGTGAGATGCCTGCAGCTACAGCCTCCTTTTAGTTAATTGAGGTTGGAGCCAAAAGTCCTCAGTTGTGGCCTTATCTTGTTCTTTGAGGCCTCATGGTTTCACCCACAAGTACAGGCCTCAGTAGGGACCAGTGACTCACAAGTAAACAAGGAAAGCCAATTAGTTAATATTAAATCCTGCTCAGAGCTGCTTCTTACTGGTCTCCATCAATGTGCTGCTTGATTTTTGTAAAACTAAACTGGAACATAACAAATGCAACTGGCAAAGACAGAATTAAGTCAGCTTCTGCCCTCAGATTTAGTGATACATCTTGCTTGGTAGGCAAGAGGGAGCAGTTGAAATTTCTGCATATCAGCTTCACTCAAGTCTTCCACAAGGCCAGCACACTAGCTCCAGGTGTAATAGCACTGGCCTGTACTCCAGCCCCAT